TCTGTTTAGTACAGTTGTACTCCATCTACTTTATTTAAATATATAATCAATAGCAAAAAATAGTTATACATTATGAAAATTTGAGAAAAACATGAAAGTTGAGAAATAAATATGCTACATGACGTCAACTTTTTTGTTATACAGAGTATAGAAATGAATTTTCATCTTTAGAACATAGAAAATGAGTAAATAAAAATAAGTATTGAGAATAATATAACATCAGTAAAGAGGAAGGATAATAAATTATTAATGAAATTAAAATATACGATAACAATAAATGTATACTATAGATCATTACGAAAAAACAAACTCACATTTTACACTCATAGCTCGATTGAACTTAGTAATGCACAAAAAATGAATAAAAAATAAAAAAGTTATTTCTAATTTGATGCGCATGTTCGCAGTACATTGAATTCTAACTAATTTGTATCAAAAATTATTATTCGACGTTTGTTTCATTAATTTTCATTATCGATCTGAAAAAAATGTCTATTAATCTAAAAGAACATTCTGTCTAAAATTTATGAAATGAAATTGAACGAATTATTACTAATATATTTAAATCAATATTGAATGTTACTCGATAAATGAACAGTTGAAAATAAAAAGTCGTTTTTGTATTTCGGAAACAACCATTCATTAAAGCAGTACGAATGACTCATCAGAAAAGAACGCAAGATTAAAAGATAAGTCGTTAAAATAATTCTTTTCTATTTTGTATTTCATTACATCATTTTTCTTTATTACACAATTTTATTCTATTTCTTTTACATGATAGTGCATAAGTGTTTTGTTAAACATTCCAGAAATAAACCAAGATGAGTACTACATTGAGTACTCATATTTTTGTCTGCGAGTAAATCTTAAACAAACAACTCATATGAGTACTCACTGTAGTACACGAAACGTATAAATACACATAAAAATGCTCGAGTACTCGGGCGAGTAATTTGAGTACTCACGCTGGCAAGTCGTACTCGCTTGATGAGTAGTTTCACTAGGGCACGTTCATTTAATTTACATGAACAGGACTATTGGTCTCAACTTGATCAGTTTTTAACTAATCTATCATATGATGGTGCAACAAATCTTTTTCAACTAGCTACACTTTCAACTACCATTCCAAATACAACGCATTATTTTTTATTTAGTGATTGTCTTTCGACTATTGGTAATGATGAACCAACCCTATTGAATAATTTGACAACAAAACCAATATGGATATTTAATGCTAATTCTGCACCTGAACCAATTTTCCATTGATTAATCATTTAAGGAATCGTAGTGGTGGTGGCTATATTTCACGTGAGAAAATCATGAGTCTAGATAATGCTAATGATATTGTTCAATGGATTGATAGACCACAAACAAGATATTTGAATATGAATATTATCAATGATGTTAATGTTCATGATATTTATCCCAGTCATTCAATTACATTAACACTAAATACAGAACGATTTATACTTGTTGGCAAAAAGTCATCATCGACCTCAGCTAATATTGCTGTTAATTTTATTATTTCAAATCAAATACATCGTAAAGAATTAAAGATCGATAAGGTAGATTCAACATGTGAAAATTATGGATTATTACGACGATTATATGCTAAACAAATGTTAAGTGAATTAAGTGCATTTCCAGCAAAAAATAAAAAGCGTATTTTAGACATTGGTTTGAAATATTCACTTGTAAGTAATTTTATATCGATACTCGTCCTAGAAACATTACAACAACATATCGAACATAAGATATATCCACATCAATCACGTAGAAAATTATATAACGATTATATGACTTGTCAAAATAATAAAAAACAAGAAGAATTAACTCAAAATCAATCAAAACTAACAGCTGTCTTGAATTTATGGCAAACACTTTGCAGTTGGTATGATAAAATAATAGCAGACAAAGATTGTAGAAATGCATTCCAAAATAAATACTCTAACCAACATAATAGGGAATACTGTAGAATGACACGAAGTCGGTCCCTATCACGATGTTCTACGATGGTCAACCGTGACTATGCAATGAACGATGATTCATTAGAGTTCATCGAAGATACAATGGAGGACAGACTAACAGACATGGTATCAACCTCGTCCAGGGATAGATTTGAGACGGATATCGATTACGCTAGTGATGATGATGAGAAGAAGGAGAAAGAGAACTCGACTAGCCAAAGTCGTTCCTTTCACGATCGATCATCATATTCAAGAAGACATTCATTCAAGGATAGACTTGCTACTACTAATGCGGGTAGTGATACTCAAACGATTACTCTTCAAAACTGGGATCCACAAACACTATACATGAACAAAATTAAATCAAGTACTAGTTTACAAACAGCTTATCAAATTTATTTAAATGAACGTCAATCATATTCTAAATCACCATCATTTTATTTTGACATAGCATCATATTTTTTCTTACAAGCTCGTTCTTCAAATTCAAAACAATCATCAATTGATGCATTTAATCAATATTATGCACAATCAAATTGTAATATTTCAAATGAATATCAATATATTGGTTTACGTATTCTTACAAATGTTTTAGAATTAGAATTGGAATCAGTACAATTATTACGAACTGTTGCTTATAAACTTGTTGAATTTGGTCTTTACAATTTAGCTGAGAATATTTTTCGACATATTGTAAATTTGAGATCGGACGAGCCACAATCATTTCGAGATCTAGCATTATTATTACAAGAATCTGATTCTGAAACAAAGAACCTTGTAGAAATATCAGATCTATTTAAGAAAGTTATATTTGGTGAATGGGATAAACGTTATTCAGAAATTGAAGTTACAACATTCCATGAATTGAATTGTTTCATATTTCAATTTCATCAACAACAACAAATATTGAATTCGATTGACAATCGTCTTATTCGTCATTTATCTGTTGACTTAAGAATTGTTATGGTTTGGAATACAAATGATACAGATATTGATCTACATGTCATCGAATCGACAGGTGAAGAACGTTATTATTCTCATAAAAACACAGCTATTGGCGGTATGATAAGTCGTGATTTTACACAAGGGTATGGATCAGAAGAATATCTTGTTCGAAAGACAGTCAAAGGTACATATATAGTTCGAGCAAAATATTTTGCTAATCATCAACAAACTCCAACTGGTGCAACGACAATCATGGTACTTATTTATAAATATTATGGACAATCAAATCAACAAAAAGAAATTGTTACATTATGATAGAGTAGTAATCAAGGAATGATCGATATATGCAAAGTGAATTTCAATGATGATATTCAACAAATTTCAAACAGTACAGTAACGAATAATCAAAATTTAAATACGAATATTCATTTACATGTGACGTGTGATGGATGTGATATGTCACCAATAAAAGGAGATCGTTACACATGTTTACTTTGTCCCGATATTGTTTTTTGTCAATCATGTAAATCTATTAATAGAACAAATCATAATTCGAATCATCCATTATTATGTATTAAAGATT